TGGAATAATGTTTTGACACAGAATCACTTTTAAATTCACACTATTCACACTATTCTACCTTCTTGAAACAATGAGAAGTTTATTTACGTATGTAAGTCTATAAAATATAACCATTTATAACCAATTAATTTTACTGGAGAGGTTTCCTGTCTTCCCAAAGCTAATCCTTACCAACTAAAATTAAGAATTCCAAAAACAAAATTCCACAAAAACCTACAAACAAGTTTAAAAATGCATTATCTAAAGTGCTTAAAATTAAACTCCACTATTTTAACTTTGATGTGTGAATTTACTTTACAGGTCCCTGGTCTATTTAATCTTTCTGACAGATTCTACTTTTCCAGATGCTCCTCAAACAAAGATTCATTCCTCATTCTTGCATCCTGCTTTTCTCCTTGTACTACTGCATCCTTTCCTTTGTCTTTCCCTCTCTCTTACAACTTCATTCTCTACTTTTGATCCTGTCCAGATTGTGCTCTCATTATAAATAATGGTCTAATTTCTCATGAGGATCTGTATTAATTCATACAAAGTCACATCTGTAATGAACTTCAATCTTAATTTACAGCAAAATTAACTGTGGAGCACATTTATGTTTAAGGGTTTTTATTTCCTTTTGCTGTTTTAAACATTGGTATATTCATAGGGTAAGCTCTGACAACACAAAAACCCATCTGTATCTCTAATTTGGATCTAGTAACCTTGTAAAACAAACCAGGAACAGGTCCTGATCTAGTAACTAACATGGCCTTTCCTCCCAGACCCCTAACCAATTTCTCATGCCTGGATACTCCATTATATCAGTAGTGACATTTTAGTCAGTTGCTTGAGAGACTAAAAGCCTGTGATCTCTTTAGGAAAATTTTTATTCCAAGGCAAACTATTTCTTCTGGTCAAATCTTATTTGGATTAATTATGTCAAAATTTATTGCTTGACATTTGGCATGTCATTTGTGCTACAGCTGCAACAGATAAGATTTGTCTTCTCTTGCGCATTTCAGTTCACCCAAAGAGCAGATGCACAATTAGCAAAAATACACCTCTAAAAATGTACTCAGGGAGAGAAAATTGTCCAACCACTGAGGCAAACAGCACTTGACAGAAAAGAAAAAGATCCATGAATCATCTAATACAAATACTGGCATTGTTATAAAGTACAATGTTCACAACTATCTAGTATTACCTAAGCAAAATGGTTTCTTAAAATTTAGCTTGTTAATAAAACTCATTAGTCTTTATTTTCCTCCACATTGAACATTGTTAATGATCCAATTTTATATTTTCAGTATGAATATACTATGTTTTTACACTTTACTCCACATTCATTCATTCTGCTAACTTCTGTAACATGCCCACTGCTGTGTACTGGGTACTACATTTTATTTCCCTTATTCTATGGTATTCTATGCAAAAGTGATACCTGGCACATTTGAAAAATAAAAATAAAAAGAGCCATGAAATCTCCCAAACTGAAATATGAAATTTCTCATCAGAATTTGCAATTGTAGGCCTGGTGGCTCACACCTGTAACCCTAGCACTCTGGGAGGCTGAGGCAGGTGGATCACTCAAGGTCAGGAGTTCGAAACCAGCCTGAGTGAGACCCTGTCTCTACTAAAAATAGAAAAAAAATTAATTGGCCAACTAAAAATATATGGAAAAACTTAGCCAGGCATGGTGGTGCATGTCTGTAATCCCAGCTACTCTGGAGACTGAGGTAGGAGGATTGCATGAGCCCAGGAGTTTGAGGTTGCTGTGAGCTAGGCTGATGCCAAGGCACTCTAGCCCAGGCAACCCAGTGAGACTCTGTCTCAAAAAAAAGAATTTGCAATTGCAGAGACAGTCCCACTGAACACTTTTCTAAAAAAATTACATAAGCAAAAGCACAAATCTCTGTGTGGGGCCTTCAAATGTCCTATTTACCTTTATTCAAGATGACAGCAGCATTAACAATTAAGTGTTCAATAAATACATTAAAAATAATGCTACTTTTTAAAGGATAATAGTAATCGTAATATTTACTGAGACTTGCAATATGCCAGACTAAAATCTAAGTGATCATTATCTCATTTAATCCTTCCATCATCCCTAAAGAATGGACATTATTGTAATCCCCATTTTACTGAAGATGAAACTGAGGCTTACCTTACTCAAGGTCACTCAGCTACATAGAGCTGGAATTCAAACCCAAGTCTATCAGTGTCCAAAGCCTGTACCCTTGATCATCATATTATACTGCTTTGTTTATACTCACTCAATCGTACTCTAAAGCTTTTGAATGTCTTATAAGGAAGGTTACTTTTTAGAACAAGTTTCTTCCTTAAAATGAACTTCCTTTTTGATAATACATATAAAATCCAACATATAAGGATTTTCCTTGAACTGTGCTATTACAAGTCTAAATATCTGGATGGGAAACAAAATCTATCTGAACGAAATCTCTGAATCCTTATGGAAACAGGCCAGACATTCACTGCAGCTGGAAGATACCTTGAGGGTCATCTAGTACAAATTCTTCCTTTTAGGAATAATGAAACATAGGCCTTTTGAAAATAAATCTATACTTAATCTAAATTACCACATTCCCAATCCAGAAACACTTAAGGTTTTTTTTTCCCAAATCATAACTTTGATATGTAATCTAATATTGCTAACATTTTTACATCATACAGAGCATGGTATCCCTTTCAGAAGCAGTCAGAAAATGCAAACTTCATGACATGAATTCAGACAACTGCAGGGCTATTACCAGTTGCAAGCTTGAATATTATCTTAAGACATGTTATAGAAAGCTATAAAATGGCATCCTTAACTATATGAACTCAAAAAAAAAACAATAGCCATTTCTTGCTTGAATTAAATTTACACTCATTTGGGTCAACTAGCCAGACGCTCAAGCTTCACTTCATCGGTCATGTCATGTGACTGAATTAAAACTCAATTCAAGGGAAAGGCCTTTCTATGCTGTATTTAGAACACATATCACTGAGAGCAGCCAGATGAGTCTTTGTAGGCCTATCCAAAAACCTTGGTTTAGTTGCTAAGAAACTACAATTTCACCGTATTATAAATCATTGGAAAAAACTATGCCAGCAGAGATTAAACGTGAAGATCAAGATCCTCTCACCTATTGTGCAAAATGAAACCATGATATTTCCATAAACTGAATAAGTGAAATTAGTATTTGGCTTCTTTAGATTATTTTGTTAACACAGTTGAAAAAGTGATGAGACAAATCAGACCAACTTTAGCCTGCCTTTCACAGTGGCCTCATGCTTTGGAGCAAAACAGGAAAAATACCCAATATATTTAGCCCATTCAATGCTAGAAACAGAAGTGTTTCCTTCCTGACCCCTGCAGTTATAATCCAAGGCCATGAAGCAAACATAAGATTTTATTAGTACAATTTGGTACAAAAAACACATATTTAAGCAATGATGCTTTTTCAATCCTTTATTGATATATTTTCATGGTAATCTTCAGCATTTTAAGCCATTTCTCCTTAGAATGCTCAACTCCACTGGCTGGATCATTGATTTTAAAAATTAAAGTCATTTAAATTCCAGCTTTTCTAACAAGAGTCATTTTAAATTGTTCTAAACAGCATAATAATCACTGAAAGATTAGCAAAAATAATTTACAGTTTACTCTCCAGTACTGACTTCTCATAAATTCTTTCATTAAAAAAATTGTTTTAATCTCTTAAAGGCTATTTCCACAACAGCAGAAACAGGTTCACAATTCTAATCTTTCTGAAAGATCAATTCAGCAGCTGAATTGTAACACAGGTCTTTAATCAGAATCTGTTCTATCAAGACACCCCCCATGCCCATGATCTCCCATCATTTCTCCTTCTCTAAAGAGCTTCAGTTCAAAACCCAGTAATTCTCTCATTTCCACTATACTCCTATCCCAGGGACCACACTTTTACGTTCCTCAGAAATAACGTCTCTTCTCTCTTCAAACTTTTGGATCTCAAAAACACACTTCCTCCATCTCCCTCTCATACCAGTCACTGCCCCCAATCCCCCCTCTGCAGTTGCAGCTGTGTCCCTGTCTTCCCAAAGGCCCAACCAATATCACACAGCATTTACCACAACCCAACTCCTCCCTCCCCTAATTTATCCCCCACAACGCAAACCAATATTACACCCCCGGCTTTCTGCATTTTATTCCTTTCCCTTATTTTTCGTCTTCACCCACCCCCATCTCTATTCCCCCTGCCTCAGTTTCAACCCTTTCTCCCCATCCTCTGCTCATTTTCCTCTCCTTATTTAGAAACTCCGTTTTGCTCTCCCAACCACTACCCTAGAATGCCCAGCACTCCACCCTCCTTGGCAAACCCAGCCCTCTTCCCCAGCTCGTTTAGAGGCACTGCCGCTTCTCTTCCAGGTCCCCACTGCAGTCAACCCACTCCCTCATCTGTCCACCCACCTTCCCCCACCCCCAGATCCAAGGTGTTCCCTGATTCTTTACCCCTTCCTCGTACTCAGCTCACCACCAGAATTCTTCAGGACTCTCTTCCCCCGATTTCTCCTTTATTTTTAAGGATGTCACCAGTCTTACGGGGCCTCGGCAGCGCCCGGGCGCCCCGTTCTCCCGCGGAGCCTGACCAACACCACCCGCAGTCTCAAACGCAAACGCCGGTCCTCTGCCGCCTTAAGAGCGGCGCCCCCTCCTCATCCGCCCCCGCTACTCCAGCTCCTGACGTCGGCTTCCCTGGTGTCCCCTCGCCGACCCCGCGCGCCGAGCTCCGCGACGTGCAGCCTGGAAGTCGGCGACACCTCCGGCTCACGCCGGACGCCCCCACTCCCGGACTGGCGCCTCCGGCCCCCACGCCAGCGCCTCTCCGAACCGACCAGCATCTCCCCTCCGACTCGCAGCCCCCAGCCTCCCGCCGGCTCCCTTCCCCTTGGCCGGCACCTCCGCAGGCCCAGGCCTGGCCCCGCCGGCGCCGGCGCCCCGCAGCCCCCGCCCGGCCCGCCCCCGGCGCCCCGCTTACCGTTCTGAGCGGCGCCTGGCCCTGGGAGGAGGGAGCCAGAGACCAGCAGCAGCGAGAGGGCCAGCGCGCTGGGGAGCGACGAGCCCGACATCCTCCCTAGCAGAAGACCCGACAGCGAATGGGCCGGGGCCGGAGCCGGGGCCGGGGGAGGGAGGGGAGGGAGGGAGGGGGCGGGCGAGCGCGCGAGGGAGTGAGCGAGGGAGGCCGCCTCTGCTCGGCTCCGTCCTTCCCCGTCCTCCTCCTACCGCCGCAGCGCCCAAGCCTCGCGAGACCTTCGCTCCGGGCCGTGGGCGGCTGAGGAGCCACAGCTGCAAGGCTCGCGAGAAGAGGCGGCCTCTAGGATGCGCCCGCCCCTCGGACTCGGCGTCTCCGCCCCTGCGGGGCCGATTGGCCTAGCGCAAGGTAGGTCACGTGCCAAGGGCGCTTCTGGCCACGTGACGGGGCGAGGCGGGGCTCCGCTCGCATTCTGGGCAGTGCGGCGCCGGGTTTTCCCGCGTTCTGTTTACAGTTCCTGGAACGGGAGCGCCCATAAATAAGAGGAAGCTTTGGTAACACGCTATATTTCCTCCACCAGTCCTGCCTTTCATTTGTTAGAGCTCTTGACTGCAGAATTGGACACACCACGCCCTGTTTTCCGCCTGCCTCATTGTCCCCTATCCTGCTGTTTCTTCCTTCTGGACTTTGCCCACAGATCTCTCGTGGTCTCTGGCCCCAACCTCCTCCTCTCGTCTGCTGTGTTTTTCCTTCCAGGCAAAGTGATGTGCTCCCTGTGCCCGCTATTACCTTGTGCTTTCCTGCCTCGACATCTGCTCCCTCTGCCTGAAATGTCCTCCTTTTCCTTCCCTGCCTGCTCCCTCCTCCCCCCCATTTTGGCCTTATTTTAGCTTCAAAGACTCTCAGGGCCTGAAGTTCAACTAGCCTAATTGCATGTCGATAAGACACAATTCTACAAGGAAGTCATCGTGTATCAATTTATGTAAAGACTCCTCAGAAGCATTTTAGCACAGTGAACATTTATCGAATACACGCTGTATAGCGGGCGCATGGTGAAACCCACATGAATAGGTAGTCTTTCATGGAGTTCACAGCCTAGTCTTTCAGAAGAGTGAGTAAGGGGCAAATGACCCATAGGAAAGGAGCCAGCAAAGCGATCTGGAGGTTGATTGGCAATGTGGTTACTACCATTTGCATGGGAGTTTGGAAAATGCCCTTTTTTAGGGTATTTTTTGTGTGTGTGCTGCTCTCAGATCTGGTGGTTGTCAAAGGAGTTTACGTGGCTTAGTTCATCCCTGACTCCCAGCAGACATCCTGGGGAGTGTCTTTGGAGTGAACCTCTGAGGAGCCAACAAAGCAGTCTTGGTAACCTAGCTTGATTTAAAGAGAGGGCTTGGAGAATATGGGGTAAAGAGACTCTCACAATCTCTTTCAAGCTAACGTAGTCTTGAGCTTTCAACAGGAGCTGGACAGTTGGTGGTTCCAGACCAAACTTTAGCAAGGGCCAGGACTTCAAGTATGGCATATTGATAGAAGTGAAAACTGCATCCTTCAAGACCTCAGTTGTGTGAGTGTCGCAAAGATTGGCATGTATCTTCATCTGGACAAAGGCCATTCTGCAGATAGCCTTGTAAGGAGGGCTACAGGACCACATGTGGAGTGACCTAGATTTTCAGTTGATGGAAGCTTTGGTTGGATGCCACCATTCTGCCACATAATAAACATAACAAACATCCCTATTTGACCCTTACAACAAGAGATTCTTACAAAATGTTTATGTTCTTTTTGTGTGCAGAGAAACTAATGCTGAGAGAAGATATGACCTGCCCAGGGTCTTGAAATGTTTGTGTTAGTCATTAATGCCAAACAGTCTGGTTTGCCTGCTGCTAGGCTCATGGTAGGAGGGCACTTCCTTGCCACCTTGAAGTTGGAAGTGGCATGTGACTTGCTTCAGCCAGTGAAATGTGTGAAATGACATGTATCATCTCCAAGCAGAAACATTTTATTCCCAGTTTAGATACTGTTGCCTACTTTTTTTTTCTTGGTAGTGATTACTGATCACAATGATGAAAGCACATGACACAATGAACCTGTGTCAGCCTGGGTCCCTAAGTTAGCACAATAACCTGAGCCCTCCTGCCAACCCACACAGAACAGGTAGCATCTGCTAAATTAAGCTACTGAGATACATGGGTATTTGTTCCTATAGCATAACCTGGACTATTCTGGTTAGGGGGAGATGAAATTCAAATCCACAACACCATTGACACTATCATCTACTAGCTATGTCACCTTAGGCAAATGATCTAATCTCTCTGGATCTAATTTTTCTGTCAAATGGGGCTAATGATAATTCCTGCCTCATAAAATTGGAAGAGGAATAAATGAGTAAATTTAGGTGCAATTTTAAAACCATTTCTGATACATAGTAAACACTTAGATGTTGATGATGATGTTGCTGCTACAATTCTGACTCCAAGCCTGGTTCTTCCCACTATGTCATGCTTACAAAAAGTGATACAAGAAGAAAAATTTTAAGTATGGGTTTTACCATTCAATTCTCAAAACCTGCAGTTATGAGGAACCCTTTTAGCCAAGAGAAAATGTCACCAAATCCTTTATGATGGTAGCTGTACTTTTGGTCCCCTTTTCTTGAGAAGATACAAAAGAACTAAAACCTTCAAGTAATTCAATAACTTTGTTAAATGAATTTAGGAATTTGGATTTTTGTTGTTCCAAATTTACATACACTTTTAAAAATCTCTCTGCAAGTAAGTGTTGTGCCAGAGGATGGCGGAGCTCTTTGCAATACCTCATATGAGCCCTAGGGGTCCTCAGAGCTCAGGCTGACACACACTTTCCTGGCCTCCAAGGAGGTCGGCTTTGCAGTGTTGATCGCGCCCCCTGGTGGGAAGACCTGTAATACAGCATTCCTGATTGAGGAATCATGTGGATTGGTTTGGTGTGTTGGAAGAAAGTATAGGGGGAGATAACCTTGGCTTGATATTTTCTGCCGGAAGTGTCAGGAAGGAACCCACTTCTGCATACCTTACTGTGCCTGACTAGACCGCCAACTTTAAATATTTACACTAAGAACCCCCTACCTCTTCCTTTGTGTCTTAACACACTGTAGCCAGGCCGGTAAGAACAAGATTGTGCAGCCGAAATCCCTGCCAATGGGATGAGACACAGCCGTAGGTCTGTTAGGGATAAAAGGTGCCACTAGTTACCCTTCTGATCAGAAGTAAAAATTTTGCCTTGCCAAGACAATTTGCAGTGTCTATTTTCTTAATAGCATCGCGGGTCTTTTCTAACAAGTATCAGTAGAAAAAAAGAGCTCCCTAATGGTTCCCTCCTCCCTCCTGAAAAGATCCCTGCTCATTTAAAATTCTTTCTAAGCCGGGCGAGATGGCTCACGCCTGTAATCCTAGCACTCTGGGAGGCTGAGGCAGGAGGATTGCTCGAGGTCAGGAGTTCAAAACCAGCCTGAGCAAGAGCAAGACCCCGTCTCTACTATAAATAAAAAGAAATTAATTGGCCAACTAATATATATAGAAAATTAGCCGGGCATGGTGGTGCATGCCTGTAGTCCCAGCTACTCGGGAGGCTGAGGCAGAAGGATTGCTTGAGCCCAGGAGTTTGAGGTTGCTGTGAGCTAGGCTGACGCCACGGCACTCACTCTAGCCTGGTCAACAAGCGAGACTCTGTCTCAAAAAAAAAAAACAAAAAAACTCTTTCTATTAAGATGTATCATCCCACTGATGTCATCTTCTGACTTCCCAGTCAATGTAATCTTTTCCCTGCCCCTTCCAATTCCTAGCACCATCCTTGAACTCCATGGGTGAGTTCAACAACCAGCTCCCTATTGAGTAGTCTCAATCCTTTCACCTTCTCATTTCCAACAATTTTCTCCTGAATGAAACTACTCTCAAAGTTACACCCTCAACAATTTAATCACCCCCCAGAAGGCTCTATCTTTGAAATATGAAACTATAATACACCACTCTTCGTTCATCACCACCTAGCCTTTCGGTCCCTGTTACTAGCACCCCATTTGCTATCATTCTTCAACCTCACTGAGACCACTCATCCACTAATCCCCCAATTTCTCTTTGTCCATTCTTCACTTCTCCCTTGGGTTTAGAGCCCATGATTCATCATCATAATCATTCCTTTGCCCACCTCAATCTCCAACACACTTTCCTGGAAAAACCACAGACTGACTGAGCACTACAGTCTGAGATGGGGTTTCATGCCTGCACCTTAGCAACTGAGTGTTGCTGGAGAAAAATCACACAAACAGGCTGAATCACTTCATTTTAAACCTCAAACCTCAAAAGGGCACGCAACACTGTCCAGCAATCCTGCTCTGTCACGTGTGGCGAGCATGAATTTGCACCTGCAATGGTCACTTGTAAGTAATGCCTCCTTTCTTTTATTTCTCTAAATCAATTTTTATCTATTCTGAGCACCTTTCTGCTGAGGTGACAAATTCCGTTTTGGTCTTTATGAGCCTTCCTGCTTATATGAAATTCTTGGGGTTTTATGTAGCCCAGGACACTCCTCCTTTTCTGTTTGTTAGGTCACTGCTGGGGTGTGCACTGAGCAGATCTCATGGCCCTTGAGGTGGCTGGTTCAGTGCGGCCCCCACAGCCCACCCCACTACACTCCCTTTCAGCTCTTGGTGATTGTTCTGCTCCCTCTCACCTTGGGGCCTTTGCATATTGTGTTCTTTGCCCCAAATGTACAATACCCCATGCTCTTCATCTGGTCTATTTATCATCATCCTTTAGATGTCAGCTTCAAATTATCCCTCCTAAAATGAAAATTAAAACTACAATACCACTTCACATGCATACACACATATTTAATAATTTTCTAAAACCTGAAAATGCCAAATATTAATAAGGATGTAGAGCAACTGGAACTCTCATGCATATGATAGTATGCATATCAAAATGGCAAAACTATTTGGGAGAACGATTTGGCAGTTTATCATAAAATTAAATATATATCCAATCTATAACCAGCAATTCTACTCCTGTGTCCCCAGTGCTCAAGAGAAGTAAAAATGCATGTTTACAAAATGATTTGTACAGGAACATTCATAGCAGCTTTATTTATAATAGCCAAAACAGGAAATAACTCAAATATTCATCAACAGGTAAATGGATAAACAAACTGTGGAATATTCAGATAATGGAACATTACTCAGCAAGAAAGAAAGAAAGAAAGAAAGAAAGAAAGAAAGAAAGAAAGAAAGAAAGAAAGAAAGAAAGAAAGAAAGAAAGAA